AATCTTTTTTTGCAGAAACTTGTGGGATCACCATGTTTCACTATAGGGTAGTGACAGGGCCACTTTGCAACAAGTGGGAACACAGCAGAGCAGAGCTGGTTTTCCCTCCTATTTTCTCTCAAACTGTCTAAACATCTCCGTCCCCCTGGCCTGCCTGGGAAGTGGGAGGAATGCTAACACCAAGACTTCAAACACAATTAGGCCTCATCAACATGCACGCTTTGGTCCCCCCTCCACTCAACTCACTTCACATTTCTATCAGCCACCATTCACAACTCCTGGCCAGGAAGGCAGCCAGGCTGTCATTTAGCACCAGGAGGGTCTGGCTGGTGAGTCTTCACTAAAATAACTTGGGGGAGGTATGGGGTGTTAAGTGGTGCACTGTGGGTAACCTCACAGCTCAGCGGTCACAGGGAGATAAGGAGGGACTGCTCTGGAGTGGTTCGCAGAATTCCAGACCTTGGATGAGGATGTCACCTCCTCCTCCTTCTCTCCGGACCAGGTCACATAATTGACAAGATGAATAGTATCCCATCCTTCAACCAATCCTGATATGGGATTTTGTGGGGGTTCAAAATGGCAGTCAGTAGGCAGCCAAAGCAAAATGTTACATTGATGTCTTTAAAATTGTCAGTCACAGCAGTTAACAAACATATTTCAACTAACTTATGATACACATTTCAAAATAGTGTTACTGCAGTACACAGCATATCAGACAACATACGGTTGTAAACAGAGCCATTTTCTCCCAATGCACTTCCTAGCAGATTAGAAAAACACAAGTAATTTCCAGTGAATTAATATTATGTCATATGTTATGCTAGGTATGTTTGTGTTGTGTAGAAACAATATTTTGGTTCTATTCAGGGTGGCTAGTCAATGCACGACCGTGGAGCCAAACTGTGAAGTCACTCTTCTAACAACAATAACTACATTATGCATGAAGTAGAAAATCCCATTCATTTCTGGAGAAGAAAAACTTAAGCTCTTTCATTAAATCAGTACCATATGACAGTGAGCTAAATAAAACACAGTTGATGACACATAGAATGGACATTTACAAGAGATGCGGCACAAAGTTGTCGTTTTGTTCCTGCTAAGCTCTATCCATCAGAACCTTGGCTTGAGACTTCACTTCAAATGCTACAGACGAAACAGGGAGGGAGAGTCACCAAGCAAGTAAAAACAACGACAACACTAAACTGGACACTTTTATTCTGACATACTTGAGACAGGCTTTAGCATGACACCATCAGCCCAGGGTGAATTCTTGACTAAAGCTTACATTGCTGCCACAATTAAAGGTAGACTTAGCGATATGACGTAGATGCAGAAAGTAAACAGCATAGTGGGTCAATTTCTGCAACAACTAAGAGCGTTGAAGCGCAGGGCTCAACTTCTATGCTGTTTTGGTCCTGTGGCTACCACGCTGTAACAGCGTGAAGCGAACCCGTGCACATGCGCAGATACTCTGTGTGACTGTGTGAGAGCGAAGTGTTGCATCTCGCTCATATCAATATCTCTGGTGCTGTTCGTGGCAACATCATAATGCGTAGTTTAACTTTAAGTTGGACAAATTTCTGCTGGCAATAACATGTCCTCCCATGACTAGAACTGGCATCTCCTCAATGTCAGTTTATTTTAAAGTAGTTGTTGTTGTTCGCACTCCATGACCTGAGAGTGTTTGCAGAGGATTTACAAGGTGATATTTACAACCTCCTTCTCTTCCCCTTCTTGCACTTGGATGCCTACAAAAACAACTCCATTCCCTGAGAGATCAGGCACAGTCATTTTAGGATTGTGACATTGGTTTAGTCATTCAAACAAAGATGCTAAGATTCAGCATACGATTTGAGGCGTGAGTAAATACCCTGAGACATTTCTTGGAGACAGAAACAGCAAAGCACACATTTTCTTTTCATTTTATAAGCACTAACAATGTTTGAGTCAGTGTTGTGCCATACACACAAAGCAAATGTGTGGTTTGTCAATGTGAAGAATGTATCAATGCCTGAGAGAATGGGGCTAGATGAAATGTGCATGCAGATAGATATTATCATTTTTACAGTTACCTAGCTATCAAAAAAACAAAAGGAAAACATGCTAGAATACAATTTCTAGCTTCAACACAGCTATCTCATTTCAAAGCAAATGTAAAAATATTAGCTAAACTAAGTCCCCTTTCGAGATAAGGTACATTACACAGCTCTGTTTGCCTATACCCAGCCCCATGAGTTTAATTGAATTAAACCTATGTATTATATTTTCCCAGGCAAACACGTTCACTCTGGACCAGAGTGCTGAGATTTTCAGCTTGCGGAGCGTGAGCGAAAGCAAACACAGCTCCAAGTTATAAGAAAATATCTGTGCTGAACAAGGAGGCATTCATGAGCTGATTCATCCCAGGCTGAAGTGTTAGCAGCGCTGCAGAGGAGGGACATCTGCCATGATCACACTCCTCCACTAAGAGTCTGTTAACGAGGAACAATCCTGGATCATCATGGACATGTTACATCCATATATACTTACTGGAACTAACACCTTCACAAGGGGAAGACAGAACACCACACTATGTGTGTTAGTAGTAGGGCTGGGAATTGCCAGGGACATCACGATACGGTATTATCATGATACTTTGGTGCCGATACGATATGTATTGCGATTCTCACAATTCTATATGGATTGTGATTCGATACTGTGATTTTATTGCGATTCGATGTTCCAAACATATTGCTCACCATATGTCAGCTGCAGAGGGACAAGAGTCATAAGAAAACTAGTTTTGATCAGTCATGGAAATAAAAGTGCTGAAAACAAATTGGCTCCAAGTTTAAAAAGAAGATGGAGAACAAGCTTTGAAGGAAAAATACTCGAGTTTTGGTGCAGGTATAGCGATATTGTCAAAACAATACATCAATACATATCAAATATAATATCCCAATATGTAACTGTATCAACTTTTTTTCCCCCCATCACTAGTTAGTAAGTATGAAAGAAGTGAGCCCAGTGCTTTTGCCTCCTCAGGTGAACTTGTTATTCTGTCTTAGTTCCACATGTTATGTAAATGCCTCCATATACGCCAGCTGATCCCCGCAGCTGGGCAAGGCACTGGAACTTTTTTGTGGCGCATGAAACGAGTGGTGATTCACATGATCTGCTTTTACTTTCATATGGTGTTCATTGAAAAAAATAGCTTTAATTTCCAAAGGCAATAGAAATGGGTTGGGGGTGATGAGTAAACACTGAAGTTGTTGCATCTCACACACCTGCGCAGGCCCAACTGTAAAGAGGATAGGGACAATTAAATCATGATGTGTGACACCCATGTCCTGATGGCTGTCAGGTCACGCAGTCCTTTATTGAGAATCTGAGCAAAAAGGGGCATAATACAACCATTACGCTACACACCATGACTGTGATCCACAAAAATATAATGATGTGGACTTGGACGAATACAGTCTTCAACTTTCACATAGCCTACATATCAATACGCCAGGAACGTAATAAAATGTGCCACATCCACAACCAACCATTTGAACTGCATCACGGTACGTCCAACCTCAAAGTAGAGAAAAGCTGGAGTCATTTGAGCAGCACTAAAGAAAGAAACAGAAGAGATGTGGGAGAGGCGAGGCAGTACTGGGAGGGTTCCGGTGGGGTAGGTTTAAAAATGCACGCTCCAGCTGTGCACGGCGTCCCACATAGCGAGCGGAGCAGGATGAGGCTACTGTTGGTTTAGCCACACAGGGTTGGGAGTACAGTACACGGAACTGCCGGTGGGTTCTTGGTATTCATTTCCCCCCCTCAATGAATCACTAAGTCCCACTGAGACTTCCATCACCCCAGGTAGGAAACACAACTGAACTGACTCAATTACACAGCTCTCTACAACCAAGGAACAATCCGTATATGACAAGGTACTTTGTTTCGGCATAGCTGTAACAAAGATGGCTGCTGTGAAATGTAAACCACCTCTGATATCAGATTCCATATCAAATGAAAAGCACCACAGGGATAAAGCAACTATGCTTTTCATTTGGTTCTTTTTTTGTTTAGTCTCCCCACTCATCTTGAAAAGGCGTCATTGAATAGGGTCCCTAGCTTCGTCCTCAATGTCCTCATTCTCTTAATGTTCTCCCCCACTAAATCAAAGACAGTACAGAGACAAAAACACCAATGTGGGTCCAATGTCGTCTATAAAGCCGCAATATATAACTTTTGGACGACCTGACCAAATTCACATTGAAAGCAAGTCTAAGAAACGGTACATCTGTTCTATATGTGCAATTTCTATGCTTCCCATTCTTAAGTTTCGTTGTTGCAACTTAACTTTCGGTTCAAACAGCTGAAAATACAATATTTTGGAATATTGAAAATATATTTCACAGCGGTTTAGACGGTACAATTATTCTATACACATTGGACCCAATTGCTTGTTTTGTCACATAAACTGAAAATAGGCAAACTATTCGAATTTTAGCAACCAGGAAATGGCGGAGCGATTTCTGCATATTGCACCTTTAAATTTGCTTTATTTGAAATTGATTCAAGATGAATGGCTATTAACTGAGTTTAACAGGATCCTATACAGAGGTATCTTCTCATATAAACCAATACACCGATTCCCCCTGGTAACCCCCTCACACAGCCCTTCTCCCAGTAAGTCACACATTCACACGGCACGTGAACTAATCTCTCCTTACAGACCAGGCGACTAGGCCACTTGGAGGCCCCATGGTCTTAAGTCACTAGGCGCCAAGTATATTGCTGTCGGTTTTGGTGGCTCAATCTGTCTATTGTCAAGGGAGCTTATGATAAATCTGAACGAACAGCAGGATTTCAGCCACTTGTTACTGCTGCTTGAAGTGGTTACTGTTGAGGGCTAGGGTGTTGTACAGTATCTGGTTCTCTGGTGCTAACATTACAACGTGTGTATGTGAATACCAAGGCTCAAGATACAGCTAAAGGGCCGCATACTAAATTGGCCTTCACATGAAACGCTACAGAAGGTCACATACCTCCATTATTCTGTCGTGGATCTGAAGGCCTCCCTCCTTGTCTGCTGGTCCATTCTCAACGATCTTAGATACAAAGATCCCTTCATTCGAAGTGCCATCATGGTCGTCCTGTGGGAGAAACTATCACGTTAATGACCCAATATCTGATCATCTCAGATTACACATTGATCAAATTGGATAAGAAATAATTGTAACATTTGAAAATGACTACATAAAAAAATATGAAACTACAATTCATGATAATTGACTTCAAATTCTTCAGCAAAAATACTATCTTTCAACTATTAAACAAGTCTCTTGCTAAAACTGCCTAACCCACTTCCAAAAGTCCTGAGGATATTATGCAGACAATTCTAAATGGTTTTCCCATTACCCATTCTCACCAATCAGGGTCAGAGACACCCTGCAGTCACATATGAACACAACTGCAGTCATCAACGTAGCCTGGTTAACCCAGCGATTAACCGCAGGGCTCAACATCCTGCAGTGACTCGCTAGTGGTTGCAGGTGCACATTACACAGGGCTTAATGTTATGCTCCACACAGCCCCAGTGCCAAAATGGCCTGCCAGTTGACATGTTTCCCAGGGCTGGAGAGTGTGACTGCGACCCAGCCCCTTAGAGGGGCTAAATGTTGAATGGATGTGTTGGATGGATACACTCTGCGTCCATCAGTGAGGCTGTGACCCCTGAGCTGTAAAAGCTATGATTGGCTTAATAAAGCCACTGCCAACATCCCTCTCAGCTCTCTCTTAAAACCACATCAAACCAACCCGCGCCTCTGCCAAGTCGTGAGATACTGTGCTAAATTTTAATGGAATACTTAAAGAAACCTCAGAAGTCAAGCTGTGAATGCTGTAATGAATTATTTCAGGTCTGTTTCCTCTTTTTTCCAAGCTCATCACAGTGCAGTGTTTACTGTGAAACCAACACGATGCCCCAAAAAATGGCCCGGAGTGGCAAGGGAATGTCACAACAGGGCAGTGTGAGAGGCCTGATGCTTTGCCATGCATCCCCAGCACTTAGACCCTCCATTGTCTACAAAGGCCAGCCCTTAATCATAGTTAGCCTGGCGCCCAACACAACCCGGCCTCCCCATCGCATCAACCCCAGTCAAGGATGAAAATGCCATGTGTCAAAAGCTGCAGGGCCTCTTTTTGTTATTTCCATTCAAATCAATAGTTTCTTGTGGAGGATTTGGTGACCTCTTTATGAATTCATCCGGTGCCTTAAAAACACTGCGAGCAAAAGTTGACTGTATCCTCTGGACTCTCCTTGGGTTGAGCTTGATGTATAGTTCTGTCAAGGGAACGGGAAAGGATACAAATCTACAAGACCATGAAATTAAGAAAAAAAATATGCTTCGGATGTTTGGTCCTTTTTATAGTTTCCTGCTGTAAAATGTTTTTCTGTAATAATCCACGTCGCTACAGCAAAGTGCGTCACTATAGCTATTGTAATGAAACCCAGAAAAACAACCCTGAGTGGAACCCTTTGGCACACATTCTTCCCAGTGAAACATATACTGCGAACACCATTTCAATGGCACCCGTTTTGTACAGAGAGAGAGAGAGAGAGAGAGAGAGATGCTCCATGTATGGGAGACCCAGTTCTAACTGAGCTCTGAGCCTGAATTTTTTAAGTATCTCGGAGTAGGAGTGCCGATCTTGGATCAGGTCCATCCTGTCCATATAATTCTATTCATTATCATCTAGAAAGGCGAAACTGATCCTATATCAGCACTCCTACTCTAAGAATCTTTGTGAATATGCGCTTGGATCCCAGTTCAGCAGTGATATTTTCAACAATGGCACTCTTATCAGAGGACTCCATGGAATCATTAATGATTGTCTGTGAGACAGCAAATACAGAGGTCGTAAAGGGTTATGAGCCCAGGGCAGAGGACCCATTTCACACCTGGTCTGTGTTTACCATGTCATCACAGTCCCCTCAATTAAAGACAAAAAAACTGTAGGCACAGTCATAATCCTTCATTTAACCCTCATATAAAGTAATTATAGTTTTTATCTGAAAAACCAAATCCGCAAACCCAACCAATATACTAACACACTAAAAACTTGTCTGATGCGGTCCATCCACATAGGCTTAAGAGAGAAACTTGCACAGTGTATTACTGTCTAAGCTTTGTCTATGTCAGTAAAGGGGTAAAACACCAAATTATAATTTATCGTGGTTCAAGTATGTGCCTCCATTCCTGATTTCCCATATGACATTTGGCTGACCATCAACGAGATAAAACAGTAACAGCAGAGATTCCACTTGTAACCTACCGCACATGGTCTTCCTCCCACAATGTTGAAGCCCAGAGAACCGCCCTCCCGATGAAGGATGGCTGTGACGTTTTTGGTCTCCCCACCCTGTGGACAGACACAGACAGAAAGAGGACAGGAAGTGAATTAACAAATATCACTGAATAACATAAATGATTGAACAAATCAATGACACCACCTCCCTGAGCGATAGAGAACTGGAGCTTATTTTCACTTCAAAACGACACAAAAATAACTCTGAACGACACAGTAGAAAGGACTGAACAAACCTATGAAGTCAATGGAGTATTTTTAGGTTTAGAAATAGCCTGAGGTAAAAAGGGTAGAAACCAAGGCTACTCCATACACCGTAAATGGATATGTAAAAAGTATCACCGTAACCAACATGGCTGGTAGCAGGGGGTAAAGAGTCACCTGTTCTCACATTTTAGTACATCACTGGTGTGGATCTACAACATGATTCGCTGTGGCTTAGCTAGCTCTCTGAGAAAGAGCTGTTAAGTGACTGGTTCAAGTAAGGGTTAATGCCTTTTCCTTCTCTCGCTCCAGAAGACGTTTGCTATGTGTATTAATACACCAGTAGACTTCTCTGTCAATGAAGGGATGACAAGTGGAACGCTGGGAAACCAGTGCAGTCAGCTTTCCACCTTTTTAGAGGGACAGTCAGGGGGTGGGACTGGGAACATCATGTCAGCTGTCATCCCAGTATGGAGTATGCCATAGCATACAGGGACTAAATATAAAAGCAAATATTAACAGTATGTACAGTGTCATCACTGAGTCTGGCTACCATATAGGCTACAGGATAGGGTACAGAGTGTATGCCATGGAAGAATGTGCACTGCTGCTGGACCAAGTTGTGTAGATGCATGTGAACAGAGTTCCACATTTAAATACAACTATTGGCTATTTACTAAATGGATAATGGCATATGGACAATTTCACAGTAACAGAGTGACACTGAGACACAACATTTTCTAAAAACACATTTACTTCAAGAACAGTGCGGATGCAAAGTTTGGTAACAGAATGACGGTTCAAACAGCACAAACCGTCATTCTGTTACCAAACTTTGCACCTGCACTGTTCTTCAAGTTCATGTGTTTTTTGAAAATGTTCTGTGGAAATTGTTAAAAGTAGTCCTTGTGCATAGAGTTGTATGGTTTGATTAACTTTGCAATCACTGGTTTTTCTTTGACATACAGTTGAAGTCGGAGGTTTACATACACCCAAGCCAAATACATTTAAACTCAGTTTTTCACAATTCCTGACATTTAATCCTAGTAATAATTCCCTGTCTTAGGTCAGTTAGGATCACCACTTTATTTTAAGAATGTGAAATGTCCAGCGTCGTCCAGGTTTGGCTGGTGTTGGCCATCATTGTAAAAAAGAATTTGTTCTTAACTGACTTGCCTAGTTAAATAAATACAAATTGCCCCTACCTTTTAGATGTTGTAAGGATATCCTAGATCTGTCCGAGCTGAGTAACCAAGACAATGTGTAAGGAGGACTGAGGACTTCTAAAACCAGTTGGGTAAGCATGTCATGCCAGAAAGGTACTAATCCCGCAAACAGACGCCAATCATCGCAGACAGTGTTGATCTTGCTTCTCAGTCACCTAACCTACAGTATGTAGCCTTATTTACGACAGGACCAAGGAGAAAGACCACATTCCCATATCCAGCTCAGTCATTCTTAGCCAGTCTACTTATTCTGTTAAATTCTGTACATCAGAAGCCAAGCGAATAGCAATACTGGAAACCTGGGCTATGCCATGTTTTACTGTTCTTAAAAAAAAAGTGGCTGAGATTCCGTGCTCCAAACCCAGCAGTCAAAGGAGGTTACCCGTCACTGTCACCACTGATATTTGGCAGTGGCTTGGGGAGCAAATATGTCACCCTGAATCTGAAATAAGTCATACATTTCACAGGATCTGATAACACATGACCTGAACTAGCCCCAGAAGAAACATAGACGCTGGCTCTCTAAGATTTGCAATGCAGCGACAGTCACCAAATTGCCCGCCTGCAACAGTTAATTCCACTTGTGTCTTTCCATTTGATACTGCCACATGTGCACTGAAGTTCTCCACCAAGCAATCCTGTCCATAGTGCTTAACTGAATCTGAAGAAGAAATCTGAAGAGAAAAATCCTTTAATCTAACCACATCATCCACATTATGATTTTTTTCTGGCTTCCTCTTTTTCTTTCATGGATAATTTGAGAAATTATACCTTTGGAGATGTTTCCTGGGATTAGAGCTTCAAGGAGGAGCACAACTTTCTTTGTTCATCCTCTTTAACTGAGTTTGTACAGTGCAGTCATTTCAGAGGGTTGAATAGATAAACTAAATAAGTAACCTGAATCTGTGTTGAAAGTGTTTACTCTTTCTGCTACCAGGCTGAAAAAAACATGTTAGTCATAATAGCTGATAGTGGTATCTAGTAATAGTGTGGTAGTGAGGTGCAGCACACATTTTGAAAGAGTGTAAAAACATGGGGAGAAAACACAATAACACTAGGTAAGGGACAAAACATGTCCCACTACTAACATGTCTCTCTGTTACCTTAAATTCAGAATGCTTGTAGCCTTGTACTACTGTACCTTACATTGCCTGCTCTGCCACTATGGGTTAATGTGGACTTACACAACATCATAAACATTTCAACCACTCCCTAGCTGACCAGAAGAGAGGCCTATATCCATTTTTATCCAGTGTGTTGAGTTGGCTATAGAACATGGCAAAAACCAAGCACCGACTATAAATATGTGATATATATTTAATAATTAATACAGCCTATCACATATTAATTTATGTTTTAATGGATTAATGACAAAATACAATACTAGTCAATCGAAATCAATTAAATTATTATTATAATTATTATCTCAACATCATTTTTATTATGCTGTTATTACAATAGGACAGTCTCTTGCAACATCTGCAGACAGAAAGTCCCAAACAACCCTGAAGAGGTTCGCGGAGGTAATTGTGACCTGAGTCTCGGTGTGTACAGAACAATAGTAAATATTTGCCCCTCCCCCAGACTGCCAGCTGGCTGTAAGTGCAGCTGACAGACATACACGTATGGCAAGCTGAGGAGAATAAACACTTCTGACCATTACTTGGCCCCTACAAGTACTTAGTCGTTGGAAATCACATTAAACGCCATGAAATAGTAGACTAATGAAACCGTGTTTGACCACAGGAGACTCCAAGTCTGTCTGGTCAAGGGCTTGTAGACATCGGACCTCTAAAGTTTTCCATTGATTAATAATACAAACTCTGATAAGTAACGGAACATGGAACAAAGTAGCGCTCGAAGTCCAGATGTGAAAAGAATGACAGTACGCGCGCAGAAGAGATACAAAGTAACACACAATCGAACCATGGCCAATCACAAAGTAACTAACAGCATTAGAAATTCCATAGCCACACGTTCTGTAATTTGAAACTAACTTACCTTGCACGGGGGAGCAAGGGTCTTAGTCAGCGAGTCGATCCTTGCACTGTATTCAGTGAATTTCTTCTGATACTTCAGTGCTGTCATTTGTAGCTCATTATGCACAGCAGAGAGTTGAGCAAGAAGTGATTTCTCTCTTTTGCTCGATTTCAAAGATTGCTTCTTGAACTCTTTGTCCAAACTGACCACCTTCACGTGCAATGCACTATTATGTGCTTTCAAGGCTTTCAAACAGCAATGGGTGTCTAGTTTTTGCTCTTTGTGGGTGAGCATCAATCCACATCCATTTTCGCATATCCCGACCGGTCTGCAATCACACGATTCGCGCATATGGGCATCCATGTCCTTCAGATTGAGCACCTCGTTGCATCCTTTATTCCTGCATTTGGCCGGCGAGTAATCGCACATCTCGGTGTGCTCTGTCAGATGTTGCAGCTTTACCACTTTTTCACAGCCTCTGGCATGATTGTCACACTTTATGTCCAGCTTCATAATCAGGTTTTTCAGAGGGAGAACGTGGTTTAGCTCTTTCGTGGAGATCCTTTGACATTTGACGGGGCAGCTGCTTTGCTGGACAACCCAAGGCAGCACACAGCCAGCGCAGAAGACGTGACCACACGGAGTAGTGAGCGGGTCTTCTAGAACTTTATTACACAAATTACATTTAAAATCTGGGTCCACAGCCCCTTTAAACCGATCCAACTCAAATCCCATGTTTTTAAATAAATCCAAAATTCCGCCGGGATTCCCACAAATCGAAGTAGGAGTAGTGGGTGTTTTAGCTTTTCATTGGAGGAGTACTGACTTCAAGCTTCCTTACTGTCTAAACTAATTGACCGAGACTTACTCGAACAAAAAAAAAAAAAAAAAAAGTGGAGGAATTCTCTACCGTAACTGCCGTAAGAGCCGCGCACCAGAGTGCAACGCAATCATCTGACGATTACTGTGATAATTCATCAATCGAAAAGAGGGCATTCTTTACGCTTTTTGAATGTGATTTACAAGTTACAAAGACAGGTAGGCTGGCTACAAGTGTGGGCAGATTGTAGCTAATAGTAGTTCTACTTACTAACTGAAAATGTTATGCAAAAGACTCCAATTAATTGTGGACCCTAGAATTATTGTTTTAGATTACAAATGTATCTCCATTGTATTTGCAAATGCCACAAACAGATATTGTACTTTGTAACAATGTGTGTAGGAGGAAGGGATGGTGCTCTGAGGATGTCTTCTCATTTTGTCAAACCATGTTAGTGTCTGTGTGCCATTGTTAAAAAGAGCTATGGCTATACGTGTTACCTGACTAGTTGTGACTGACACTTCATGGTATGAGCTATATAAAAAAAGGCTGTGTGATCACTAGCTGAGGAATGTTCAACTCAGTTCTCTTATATCGAGGCCGAGTGGAGCCCCACAGTGGAGGTGTCATAATACCCATAAAACCTAGCGGTCAAACAGGGAAAAGGTTCCAATCGTTTTTCCACCATTCATTTTTCCCATAGGGGATTTTAGAAACACCTAAAATAAGGGCTGTATTTCGTGTAAGCTTATCCTGGCGTGACGTTTTGATAAGCATGTAAATCTCCCTCAGATGAGGTGACTTTTATCAATATATTCGGCTCTATTTACTCTCAGATTCGAAAATGCTAATTAGCATCAAAGTAGACATCGTGCAAAACTACAAATCCCTGCAAGCTCCTGCACGTTATCTCTAGCTGACACCTTTGTTAACAGGTATTGTGTACATTTGAAACTTGCACAATATTGTCCATTTAAAGAAATGTAGCCAATTTATTCATTACTACATTTAGCTAATTTTAAATAGTTCATCCAGAGATTCTTACCTTTGCCTTGATTCATCAGTCTCGTCCAGATCATCATGGCATTTGTAGTTCTTTATGATAGCCACATTAGCAGCTAATTAGCATTTCATTTTGGCGGGGTAAATACAGACGAATATATTGATAAATGTCACCTTGTCCAAGATAGATTTACATGGTTATCAAAACGTCATGCCAGGGTAAGCCTACACGAAACACAGCCCTTATTTGAAGTGTTTCTAATATCCCCTATGGGAAAAATGAATGGTGGAAAAACGATTGGAACCGTTTCCCTGTTTGACCGCTAGGTTTTATGGGTATTATGACTCATACTGTGGTACTCCGTTGAGTTTTGATAATGGGTCATGGGATGTGCTAGCAACAACATTGAGTCACCATCAGTCCATACCTGTAAAAATGTGTTTAAAAAAAAGAAGTAAATTCAGAAAAAGCTTACCTGTACCTATGTTTGTCCTGTACAACTGCGGTCCTTCCGCGGGGTGCTGAAATTCATACTTTTAATAAAAACTTTTATTGACTACAACCTTCTTCTTCTTCTTCTTCTTCTTCTTCTTCTTCTTCTTCTTCTTCTTCTTCTTCTTCTTCTTCTTCTTCTTCTTCTTCTTCTTCTTATTCTTCTATAGTATTATGGCGGTCCGCAAACAAACTTTAGAGATGCATGCCACCACCTACTGTACAATCCATCATACTTGGTGATACAAAAATGGGAAAATGGAAAAGGAAAAAATACCCTGCCAACTATTAACCCTCATAAAAAAACACTACTATTTTAACCCTATCTAATCCTACACCAGACCGACGGCCTGGGAGGACGGGACACGTCCATTCCCCTGTAAATCTTCTGGAGTAAAATCACAACATCTATTTTCTGTGACTTAAATTGCATTTCTGCGGTACAGTTGCGTTCATAACCATAACCATGGCTATGAACGCTAAGAAACCAACCTTACTAATGCACATATTATTCCTCTCACTCTCTGTTGGCCTCGGCCTACTCACAGGAATCCTCACAGGATCCCTCGCCCTGTACCCATCTTCCTCTACTTCTCTATTCACTGCCTTTCTCTCACCGGACACTTCTGATCTCCAGCACCATGGGTACCCCTACAGCTAAAACAAACAATACTACACATTCCTTTGTCTCATGCCCTCCTGCACACTTTTCACATCTAGGAATCTCCCTCCTACACACTACTGCAACATGACCATAAGCTTGGCACCTAAAACACTGTAATGGGTTCGGGACAAAAGCTCTCACGGGACAACGGGCACATCCTAACTTGACTTTGTCGGGTAAAGACTGCATCAAAACTCAGCAATACACACCGTGTCTTCTCTGTTTCACCACGCTCTCCACTGCATCTGCCCCACACCAAACAGCGGGCGTCACAGACACAATGGGAATTTTCCATTTCAGTTGATCCTCCTTAACACTTAACTCCACCCCAGTAATCACTCCTTTCAACGCCCTGCTCCGAAGAGTAAAGCAAGTCACAGTTCTTGTCCCTAGTCGCGTGGTCCGGAGCGCCCGCTCCCTCTGAACAGAAAAAAATAATCACGAGTCCAGTTCGAGTCACTTTCACCGACCCAACAGTCCCCAACATCTCCTCCATCCAACCTGACACCACATATGAATCAGCCAGAAGGCAAGGATCCATTATCTCCAAAAATCTCACTCCCACTGGGCCAGAATCATCTTTATCATCATTGGGACGTGGCTCGACCTCAGCCGTCTTCACCACACCTGCCAGCAGTTAATTCATCCTCACTCTTGTCAGATTCAGTTTCGTCCGCCACCCAACTGTTGTGATTTATACAATGTCATCTCTTTGACTTCAGCATGGTTCTCCTTCTGCTAATCACTTATCCGTCCAACAATGTCAACAACATACCTCACTTTGGCTCCCTTTGCTGTCTGTTTCCACTGAATACAACCACCACATTTTTTCTCATTTGTGTTGCTCGTACTACTTACTACATAAGCTTGAGATTTGGCACATGCACATTCGTGCTGAGTTGAGCAACACAAATTGGGAAAAAGTCAGTGGTTGTATTTTTATTAAAAGTGTTCTGGCCCCTGTAGTTGGGTTTGAGTTCCTTTAGGCTATTGTGTAATTCCATTGTTGACCACTTGTGGCCACTGTCCTGGGTTGATGTGTGCTGTTCGTTTAATATGCTAAATCCTGTAGAAGAAGAATTGTTTACATTCCAAAATGGTGAAAGTTACACTGTGGAGCTGCAGATGCTATCAAACTGCATCCTTCTTGCTATCATTTTGGAGAAGCATTGTCTTTAAGTAAAATTAATCATAACATATTTGGCATTCAATTCATGATGATATTTTGTACGGATGGTCATTTTAATGAGATTTATGAATCTTCTTGATCGCCACATGGAAATCCGTTCAGTGCATGATCTTGTCATGTTTTGGGGAATTATTTATATCCAATTTAATGCATAATGCTGCATTTTTCTGTGTTTATGAACATGTATACAGATACATGCTGTGTTATTATTGAGAATGAAGCCTAGTAATCAGCCAGCATACAATAAGTCATACTCATTGTTATTTTCTTTCTATATTTCAGTTTTACTCATTTCAGTCACTATTACTGTACCTACGAAGCTGTGGCAATACATCATCCTTCAACACTACAGTAGCTGTACTGAGTTTATCTATCTGCTAAGCTTAAGAAGGGGACTCTTTTGCGAGGGCAGAATAAAAAGTATGAATTTCAGCAACCCGCGGAAGGACCACGGTTGTACAGGACAAACATAGGTACAGGTAAGCATTTGAATGGTTGTGTCCCGTCCTCCCAGGGCATCGGTCTGGTGTAGGATTAGATAGGGTTAAAATAGTAGTGTTTTCTCATTTTTGTATCACCAAGTATAATGGATTGTACAGTAGGTGGTGGCATGCATCTCTAATGTTTGTTTGCGGACATAATACTATAGAAGAAGAAGAAGAAGAAGAAGGTTATAGTCAATAAAAGTTTTTATTAAAAGCATGAATTTCAGCACCCCGCGGAGTATAGGGCGGCAGGTAGCTTAGTGGGTAAGAGCGTTGTGCCAGTAACCGAAAGGTCGCTGGTTCTAATCCCCGAGCCGACTAGGTGAAAAATCTGTCGATGTGCCCTTAAGCAAGGCACGTAACCCTAATTGCTCATGTAAATCGCTCTGGATTAGAGCGTCTGCTAAATGACTAAAATGTAATGTAAATGTAAGGACCGCGGTTGTACAGGACAAACATACAAATCAAATCAAATCAAATCAAATTTTATTGGTCACATGCGCCGAATACAACAGGTGCAGACATTACAGTGAAATGCTTACTTACAGCCCTTAACCAACAGTGCATTTATTTTAAACAAAAAAGTAAGAATAAAACAACAACAAAAAAAGTGTTGAGAAAAAAAGAGCAGAAGTAAAAAATAAAGTGACAGTAGGGAGGCTATATATACAATAGAATAAAGTGACAGTAGGGAGGCTATATATACAGGGGGGTACCGTTGCATAGTCAATGTGCGGGGGCACCGGCTAGTTGAGGTAGTTGAGGTAATATGTACATGTGGGTAGAGTTAAAGTGACTATGCATAAATACTTAACAGAGTAGCAGCAGCATAAAAAGGATGGGGTGGGGGGGCAGTGCAAATAGTCCGGGTAGCCATGATTAGCTGTTCAGGAGTCTTATGGCTTGGGGGTAGAAGCTGTTGAGAAGTCTTTTGGACCTAGACTTGGCACTCCGGTACCGCTTGCCGTGCGGTAGCAGAGAGAACAGTCTATGACTAGGGTGACTGGAGTCTTTGACAATTTTGAGGGCCTTCCTCTGACACCGCCTGGTATAGAGGTCCTGGATGGCAGGGAGCTTTGCCC